GGTTTAGGGTTTAGGGTTTAGGGTTTAGGGTTTGCGCGCAGGGTGCAAGAAGTACGTGAAGTGCGGCAGCTGCAAAGCCGGCGGAACCCCCGAAGCAAAATGCAGCTTTTGGAAACCCCCGAGGACCCCTGAGTTGCTGCTGAGAAGCGGCACTTACTACGGACTCAAGGTTTGCTGCTGCTGTTGCTGCTGCTGCTGCTGCTGCTGCTGCTGCCGCTGGGGGTGCTGCTGGTGATAATGCTGAGGACCCCTGAGTTGCTGCTGAGAAGCGGCATTTACTGCGGACTCAAGGTTTGCTGCTGCTGCTGCTGCTATTGCTGCTGCTGCTGCTGCTGCTGCTGGTGATAATGCTGAGGACCCCTGAGTTGCTGCTGAGAAGCGCGGCATTTACTACGGACTCAAGGTTTGCTGCTGCTGCTGTTGCTGCTGCTGCTGCTGCTGTTGCTGCTGCTGCTGCTGCTGCTGGCGATAATGCTGAGGACACCTGAGTTGCTGCTGAGAAGCGGAATTTACTACGGACATAAGGTTTGATGCTGCTGTTGCTGCTGCTGCTAGTGCTGCTGCTGCTAACAGTACTGCTGCTGCTGCTGATAGTGCTGATAATGCCGTGGACACCTGAGCTGCTGCTGCAAAACGGCACTTACTATGGACTCAAGGTTTGCTGCTGCTTAAGATTGCGCTCTGGCTTCTGTTGCTGTTGCTGCTGCTGCTGCTGCTGCTGCTTCACAAAAGGACTCCAAAAGCGGTGGCACTTCGAGTACGCGAAATGGGTGAAATTCTGCTGCTGCTACTGCTGCTGCTGCTGCTGCAGCGCATAAGTCGTTCGGGGTCGCTGGACTTGTCCATTAAATGGGAAGCAGAAAATTCGGAATTAAATTTTGATGATTGTCTCACTGATGTCAAACAAGTTGCTGCTGCAACAAGAGAGCTCAAGGCCTCAGGTTAGATGCCCTTAAAAGCTGCTGCTGCTGCTGCTTCTGCTGCTGCAGCAGGTGCTAGTGCAGTTGTTGCTGCAGCAGGTGAAACTGCTGCAGCTGCTGCCACAACAGCAGCAGTCACTGTTGTATCAGCTGCTGCTGCCACTGCATCAGCAGCCGCTGCTGCAGCAGCAGCTGCTGCTGTTGCTGCTGCTGCAGAGGTGTTTATTAAATTGCCTTCGCGCACGTGGCTCCTTAAGATATAAAGAGAACAATCTTCACTGATAAATAATCCTCCTGAATCATTCATTCACTTATTTATTTATTTATTTATTTATTTATTTATTAAATTATTTATTTATTAAAGTGCTTAATCTAAAAGCAGCAGCAAATAGTCTGCGTCAGGTGGATAGACTTTGCTGCTGCCGCACTCCGCCGCAGCTCCGCCAAAAGACTTCAAATTTTTCCGAACTTTTCGGATTTGGAGTCTTTGAACGGAATAAAGAAGAAATAAATGCAAGTAAATGCAAATAAATGCAAACAAATGCAATAAAATGCAACAAAGTGGAAAAAAGGGAGCAAATTGCGTTAATTTGGCGCCGCTGCGTGCAGGAAATGTGGGGGCCTTTTCGCTGCAGCGGATGGCGCAGCTGACGGTGGCAGCTGTACGTACACCCGAAACTGCTGCAGCAGGAAGTTCGGAGTCCCGCATTTCTTTTCAGATTCATTTAAACCAGCCCGAAGCCCTCAACGCCCTCAACCGCCAGTTTGCTGCTGCTGCTGCTGCTGCTGCTCCTGCTGCAGCAGCAGCAGCAGCGCCCACTTGCCCGCAGCAAAACGTCCGCAGCAGCCTTTTGGCGCTCAAGCCGCAGGAGACCGCCTTTGTTGCCACGTGAGAATAATTAGAATTAAATAAATAAATAAATAAATAATAAATAAATATATTAATTAATTAATTAAATGTTAATTTAATTATAATAAAATGTTAATTTAATTTGATTTGTTTAATTAACTTAATTTGAAAAAATTTGGAGCCGAAGGAAGTCGTTGGGTAACGCTGACGTTTTTGCTGCTTTTTTGCCTTTCTTTTCAAAACCCCAAACCCTAAACCCTAAACCCTAGAAGATTACTCCAAACCCTACGAGATCTCTCTAAACCCTAAACCCTAGCCCCTCACTGCTCCCACGACTACTCCTGCTGCTGCTGCTGCCGCCCCAACCACTCTCACTCTCCCCCTCACCATTGCCGCTGCTGCCGCTGCCGCTGCTGCTGCTGCTGCTGCTGCTGCTGCTGCTGCTGCTGCTGCTGCTGCTGCTGCAGGTGGTTTTCGATCCCGCGGGAGAAGAGCTACGCGCTGTACCCGCGGGACTTCCGCGTGCGGGTGTTTTGCCACTCAGCAGCAGATTGCAATTTGTCTCAGTTTTCTTTTTGCTTCCGACTTGCATGCCCCATCAAGTCTGCTGCAGCAGAAGCAGCAGCAGCAGCAGCAGAGGAGGCCATGCAGCACCCCGTCGGGCCCCGCCCCGCCCCCGCTGCTGCGGCGGCGCAGCAGCAGCGCGCAGCGCCGCTGCTGCAGCAGCAGC